CCGGCACCTCCGCACAGACGGGGCGGGCGGCGCGGATAGGAGCCCGGGAGGCCATGGGGACGGGGGCCGGGCCGGCGATCGCGGGCCAGCGGGAGCCCCGCGTCTGAGGAGCGGGCGGCGGGGGCGGCGGGGGCCATGACCTCGGTGTGGAAGCGCCTGCAGCGCGTGGGCAAGCGGGCCGCCAAGTTCCAGTTTGTGGCCTGTTACCACGAGCTGGTGGTAGAGTGCACCAAGAAATGGTGAGTGGGTGCGAGGCCTGGGGGGCTCCCCAGACTGGCCAGGACCCCATCTGGCCTTTGGAGGCTGAGAGAACCCTGCCCCAGCCCAATGGCTAAAGGGACCCCCTACCCCAGCTTGGGCCCTGCTGTCCCAGGCACAGGGACTCAAAAGTGCCCTTGCCGCTTGGAGGACCCCTAGCGTTGGGGGGTGTGGGCAGCTTTTGGGGAGCAGAGGTCAGGACTTCTAGGCCTGAGAATCTGTCTGTGCCCACACTTTCCTTAGCTGTGCTCAGGGATGGGGGAAGGGAGGCCTCATGTTTTTGGCCAGAGGGATGGTTCAGGATGGCCTCAGAAAAGGGAGTAAGTTTTGAGGTCTGCGGTGGCTGTGCTGGGACAGAAACCTCCATGGGCCTTAATCCAACTCAGAACAAGGATGTTGCCCCCTCCTCCCCTGCCCACTTGTTGAGCCAGAGGAGCCAGCCGCCCTTCAGCCAGAGTGGGCGCTGGGAGGCAGGATACGTCTCCACAATGTCCTTAAAAGGGGAAACTGAGCGCTGGGAGGGATGAGGGGGGAGGTGGTGAACAGCTTAAAGGGGCCTGAGGGCCTAGGAGGTTGTGGATCCGGGAGGAGAGGGTCTGGGGAGGGTGAGGTGGTGGGGTGGGGGGAGATATGTGGGGAGGGTGGAGGACCTGGCCCTAACTGCCGAAGGGCCCAGGGGAAGGGCCCAGGGGCATCTCGTTCACATGCTCCCACCCACAGCTGCCCGGGCCCCTGCGTCACACCCTAAATATACGTGCTCACTGGTGTCAGCTTCCCTTGGCTGGATTAGGGCACAGCTGTGGGGGCCTCACCCGCCAGGCGGGGCTAAATTTAGGCTCCCAAGAGGCTGCTGGGGCAGGAAGGGACCGTGAGGTCCAAGGGGAGGGGAGTGAGAAGGAGGCTGGGGTCCCTTGGGCAGCAGCCATCTCCCTGGTCTTGATTGGGCCAGCCAGAGGGCCGTCCACTCCATTTGGCTGGGCTCAGAGAGGACAGGGGCTGGCTGGGGTAACACAGCACGGGGCTGGGACTTGAACCCTGCCCTCTGGCTTCTGCCTTCTGTCGCAGCATCCTGGGCGAGGCCAGGAGGACGCTGGGCATGGTCGTGGAGAGCAGGCTGAGGTGTGGGACAGTGTCAGTGCATCTGAGTCATGGCGGGGGGCAGGGCCACCAGGGCTTCTTAGCCTGGAGCCCAGGCTAGGAAGCTGCCCCTGCCCAGGTGGCACCTCCCCTGGAGGGCGTGCCTAGCCTGAGTCAGGCTGCCTAGACAGGCCCCGCCCTCTCTAGGCAGCCGCTGTCCGCTTCCCCTTTCTGGGAAGGCCCCATGGCCACCCTTGCTCAGCCATCGCCTGCAGTTTGGGGTCAGGGAGGGGAGCTTGGCTCTAAGCTTAGCTGTGTGACCTTGCTTGGCCCCCAGCCTCTCTGGGCCTCAGCATCCTTAGGGGTTGACAGGAGAGCCATTTATTCTGGCTCAGCCTCCAGAGGGGCAGTGAGCTAGGTGAACCTGAGCATCTTGGCGTGGGACTGGGTACAGGCAAGGAGGGCTCTCATGCTGCCCTCAGCCTGATGGTCCCCTCCTCCATCCCCATCCTTCTGAGCACTGGTTGGACCCTCTAACCCAAAGGGACCCTCTCCCTCCCAGGCCCAGCCACGTGTCAGTTCCGTGTCTGGGACTGGGCCCTGCGCAGATGACTCTCTCCTCTCGCTTTGTCTGTCTCCCCACATCTCTTTGCCTCTCCTCTGAGCCTGCCCCTGTGTATGCTGTTCATCTTAGATGTCACCTTCTGGAAGTCTTCCTTGATGCCCTCGTGGGAGTCAGAGACCCTGCAGAGCTAGGGTCCAGGGCTCTGGGTTTGAGAGGTGGGGAGCATGGCTGACTCGAGGGGCCCCTGGGCCCAGCAAAGAGCTGGGCATGGAAGGCCGCGGGAGGGTGTCTAATGACGAGCTGACCCTCTGCCCTGCTCTGACCATGCGCCTCCCCCCAACCTCGGACCCTTGCCCTGGCCATTCCCTCTACCTGGAGCCCTGCCTCTCCAGACCTCATGTGGCCCATCCCTCCCCCAGTCATACCTCTGCTCAGACACCCAACCTCAAGGAGACCCCAGCGGCTCTCTCCTGTCTCCCTGAGTCAGCTTGTTAATTTGTGTCCCTCCTGGATTGGCACTCTTTTCCCACCCCTGTTGTCCTCCAAGAAGGGTCTTGCCTCTCCTCTCCTCTGCTCTGCTCTGCCCGTGAACTGGGCCGGGTTTAGAGTATGCACTCCACAAATATTTGTGGGTGAACGGCCTTTTACCCCGAGTCTGCCTCCCCCTGTGTCTCTGAGTCTGCGTGTCTCTTGCAGGCTCCTTGCTGTGTTTCTGTGTATCTCTGTCTCCGTGTGTGCCTGTCTCTGTAGGTCTCTGACTCTCTCACTCTTTCTTCATAATCCCTGACCCACTTCGGGCCTTTGCCCTTCTGCTCTGGCCCCACCCTGCCTAGCAGCCCCACCCTGCTCCCTGTGGCCCCAGATAAGGGGCCGTCCAGGCCCTCTCCTGGGGGAGGGGGATGTGGGCAGAAGGGAGACCCTGGAGGAGATGGAGAGGCAGGGTGGGCCTGACTGAGTAGCCCCCTCTCCATGCCCCTAGGCAGCCAGATAAGCTGGTGGTGGTATGGACCCGGCGGAACCGACGCATCTGCTCCAAGGTGGGGGAGGATGTCAACTGGGGGTCCAGGTTGGCGGTGGGGCCAATGGTGGATGCGGGGAAAGTGGGTGAGGGCTGATGGGGGAATGGAGTCAGGTTCAGATCAGAATCCACAGAAGGGAGAGAAAGATGGGGTCAAGGTTGGAGATAGGGGTAAGGGATGAAGGGGAGAGTCAAGATTGGGGGAAGGACTCAGACTGCTCATTTTAGGCCCACAGCTGGCAACCGGGCATCCAGAACCCATACCGGGGCACCGTGGTGTGGATGGTGCCGGAGAATGTGGACATCTCCGTGACCCTATACAGGGTGAGTCTCTGACCCTCCTGCATAGATGAGAATGGGTGGGCAGTTATATTCCTGGGCAGCCACGGGGTCCCCTGGTGGCTTATCAATCCAAATAGGAAAGAACAGATGGGTGAGACCAAGAACGGAGGCAGGGGGCCTACTCAGCATGAGCAGCGCAGGAGGTCTTGGAGGAGGTGACATTTATCCGCCACGTGCGGGATGAGAGACAGCTGGGACCAGGAGAGCTGGGGAGCTTCCTAGGCAGGAGGGCCCAGCATGTGTGAAGGCCCCAACCAAATACCTCTCCCCTCTGCACTGCCCCCACCCCAGCAGCTCCTGTACTCATCAGTGCCCATTTTTCCCAGGACCCGCACGTGGACCAGTATGAGGCCAAAGAGTGGACGTTTATTATTGAGAATGTGAGTGGCCAGGGTGGGCTGGGGCCTGGGGTCTCGGGGACTCAGGGGCAGCACTGACGCTCCTTCTGCCCCTCCCCCCGGCCCCCAGGAGTCCAAGGGGCAGCGGAAGGTGCTGGCCACGGCCGAGGTGGACCTGGCCCGCCACGCGGGGCCCGTGCCCGCCCAGGTTCCGCTGCGGCTGCGGCTGAAGCCCAAGTCGGTGAAGGTGGTGCACGCGGAGCTGAGCCTCACTCTCTCGGGGGTGCTGCTGCGGGAGGGCCGCGCCACGTGAGTGTCTGCCTGCCCTCCTTGGCCCTGGTCTGCCAGCTCTGACCCCAGCCCTCACCCCTGACTTCTGACCCCCAGGGACGATGACATGCAGAGTCTCGCGAGTCTCATGAGCGTGAAGCCCAGTGACGTGGGCAACTTGGACGACTTTGCTGAGAGTGACGAGGAGGAGGCTAATGGTCCAGGGGCCCCTGAGGCACGGGCTCGTGTCCCCCAGCCAGGTGGGCCCACAGCCTGCTGTGGATTGACATCATGGAGACCTAGTGAGGGTGGGGATAACCCGGGCCATAAGCCATTTGCTGTGATGGGCAGGCCAGCTTGTGCCCACCCAGTGATGGAGCTCACAACCAGCCGGCAGCCCTGATTGGCCCAACATGGCTCCTGGTCCCATGGTGGCCTGGGTCCTTAGCCCAGTCCTGCAGGATGGGTTCCCAGTGCCTCCCCATGCCCCTGGCCCTCTCCTCACCCCTGAGGGGGTGCCTGCCCTGAGACAGCTGGGCCAAAAGCATGAAGAGGGGCTGCAGTCCCATCTCCCCACCCCTCACCGCCCACGCTCATGCTCAGCCACCAGCTTCCTCATCCCTCACTTTGGCTTGTTAAGGCTTTTTCTCGTCTGTCCTTGTGGTTCTCTCTCTCTTTTTCTCTGCATCTGTGGGCCTGTCTCTTCTCGCAGGCCGGGGCGGTGCCCTGAGGCTGGGGCGTTTCCCAGGTAGGCCCAGTGCTCTAGTTGGGGGGAGGGGGGTCAGACCTGTAGGGCCCTGCCCTGGGCTGACCCTGCCCCCCGAACCCCCCAGATCCCTCTCGGGAGCTGAGGACACTTCGTGAGGAGGAGGAGGAGGGCCGAGTGCAACCCCGGCAGACAGGTGAGGCCCAGGCTGGGGTGGGGGGACTGGACCTCCAGTCACAGGGCCCAGGCCTCAGTGCTCCCTCCCTTCCTTCCTCCCCAGTTGCCAGCCCTTCTAGTGCTGAGGATAACAGCCCAGCCCCTGTGAGTGCTCCTGCGCCCCCAACCAGGGCCTCCCGGGGCCAGGGGGCAGAACCAGCTACTGTAGCTGGGGGCCAGGTGGGGCCTGAGGCCCCAAGGCCCCCGGGAACCCCACTGGAGACGAGGTGAGCTTTGGAACCAGCCCCACTCCCCACCCCCTGCCCACTGTTAGGAAGCTACGCTCCCCCTCCCAGCCTGCCTTTCCAGTGCCCCAGCAAGCTGAAGGGTGGGGGGTGGGGCTGAGAATGAGTGGCCAAATGAAGCCCCACAACGCCTCTTCTTGCTCTCTCCTCAGGTCCTCCAGAGAGCCAGACCAGGATGTGGCCCCCACCCCAGCTCCTCGGCTCCGGAAAGGCTCTGATGCCCCCTGGCCCCCAGTCCCCCAAGGGGAGGACAAGGCCCCCAAAGCCTCAGGGCCTCCCCCGGCAGGAGTGGGTTCTGCCGGGGAGACCCAGGCCCAGGCAAGCCCTCAGGAAGGGACAGAGGCCCAGGGAGCCGGGCCGGGCCCAGGCATTGAGGACAGAGGTTCCAGAGACTCTTCGGGAGGGCAGAAAGCCAAAGTTGAGGAGGGGGTCGCTGGGGACAGGCCAGAGGAGAGTGGGGTGGCCACTGAGCATGGGTCAGGAGTCAGAGAGGTGAACACTAAGAGGTCAGAGGTCAGAGTTGGGGAAACCAAAGAGAGTTCAGAAGTTAGTCAAGTGGATGCTGAGCAGAGGTCACAGGTGAGACACGTGGACACTAAAGGACCAGAGGCTACAGGGGTGACATCTGAGGCAAGATTCAAGGGGACTCCTGAGGTTCCTCCAAGGAGTTCTCAGGGGAGGATGGGGGTTAGGACCAGGGATGAGGTTCCCACAATCCTGAGCCCACCTCTAGCAGAGCCCGCAGGTCACTCCGGGGATCTCGGTGACCTCAGAGGGGCCAGGGCTGCTACAGGCCAGGAGAGAGAGGATGCAGAGGTGAGGGGTGGAGCCCCTGGTATTGGGGGGACAGGCCTGGAGCAGGGCCCCTCTGTTGGAGCAGCGAGCGTCAGGCCCCAGGTGAGCAGGTACCAGGGGGCCCCACCAGCAGCTGACCAGGGGGCGATGTCTAGGGATCTGGGGGTCTGGGAGGCAGAAGCTGGGGATTCAAGGGTCCTGGAAACAGAAACTAGGGAGGCAGAGTCAGAGGTGTTGGGGACCCAGGAGACAGAAGCAGTGGGATCAAGGTTCCCAGAGATAGAGACCGGGACAGCAGAAGCTGAGATATTGGGGGCCCAGGAGACAGAGGCAGGGAGATCAGGGTTCCTGGAGTCAGAGGCTGCTGGAGTGGCAGAGTCGGAGGAACTGGGGGCCCAGAAAACAGAGGTGAGGATTTCAGGGGCCCTGGAGACAGAGGCTGGGACAGCAAAGTGTGAGGTACTGGAGACCCAGAAAACAGAGGCTGGGGGTTCAGAAGTTCTGGGGACAAAGACTAGGATGGCAGAGACTGAGGTATTGGGGTCCCAGGAGATGCCCGGGGGTTTAGCAGTGCTGAGGATAGAAGCTGAGATAGCAGAATCTGAAATATTGGGGGCCCAGGAGACAGAGGTGGGAGGTTCCAGGGTACCAGAGACTGAGGGTGGGAGGGCAGAGGCTGAGATATTGGGGGCCCAGGAGACAGAGGTGGGAGGTTCCAGGGTACCAGAGACTGAGGGTGGGAGGGCAGAGGCTGAGATATTGGGGGCCCAGGAGACAGAGGTGGGGGTTTCAGGGGTCTCAGGCATAGAATCTGAGATAGCAGGGATCTGGGAGACAGAGATAGGGGGTTCAGGGGTCCCAGGGTTCAAGACTGAGACAGCCAAAGCTGAGATAGTGGGGACCCATGAGATAGCAGCTGGGGGTTCAGGGGCCTCAAGGATGGAAGCTGAGATAGCAGGGACCCAGGAAACAGAGGTGGGGGGTTCCAGGGTTCCAGAGATAGAGACTGAGATAACAGAAGCTGAGATATTGGGGCCCCAGGAGATATCTGGGGGTTCAGCGGTACTGAGGATAGAAGCTGAGATAGGAGAATCTGAAATATTGGGGGCCCAGGAGACAGAGGTGGGAGGTTCCAGGGTACCAGAGACTGAGGCTGGGAGGGCAGAGGCTGAGATATTGGGGGCCCAGGAGACAGAGGTGGGGGTTTCAGGGGTCTCAGGGATAGAATCTGAGAGAGCAGGGATCCAGGAGACAGAGGTAGGGGGTTCAGGGGTCCCAGGGTTTGAGAGTGAGGTAGCCGAAGCTGAGATATTGGGGACCCAGGAGATAGAAGCTAGGTGTTCAGGGGTCCCAGGGCTAGAAGCTGAGATGGCAGAGACCCAGGAGACAGAGGTGGGGAGTTCGGGGGTCCCAGGGGTAGAGAGTGAGATAGCAGAAACTCATATATTGGAGATCCAGGAGGTAGCAGCTGGGGGTTCAGGGGTCCTAGGGGTAGAGACTGAGATAGCAGGGGCCCAGGAGACAGAGGTGGCGGATTCAAGAGTCTCAGGGCTAGAGGTTGGAAAGGCAGAGGCTGAGGGACTGGGGACTCAACAGACAGAAACTACAGTTTCAGAGGCTGAGAAGGCAAAGGCTAAGACTTCAGGGGTACAGGAGGCAGGGCTCTGGGGCACCCTCAAATATGAGGCTTTAAGAGCCCCACTCACTAAGGCTGGAGTTTTAGGGTCCGTGGGAGCAGAAGCAGAAACTACAGTTTTGAGGGTCCAGGAGGCAGAGGCTGGGATTTTGGGGGTTTCAGAGGCCAAATCTGGGGTTTGGGGGGCCCAGGAAGCAGAGACGGGGGTTTTAGGGACTCCAGAGAACCAATCTGGTATTTTTGAGGCCCAGGAAGCAGAGGCTGGGGTCTCAGGAACCGAGAAGGGAAAAGCAGCTGAGGGAAGCCTCCCAGAGGCCAGCCTGATTGAGGCTCAGGTGGCCAGTGGGGCAGGGGCTGGGGTGCCCAGGCCCTCGGGGGCCTCTTCCCCAGAGGAGCCTGAAGAGGACGGGAGGCTGCCGGGCAGCCAGGTAGGGATGGGGGCCGCCGAGGGCCCAGTCTGCTGCTTCCCACTAACCTGGGGCTGAGCGAACGGCGGCTCTGCATGGACCCACCTGGTCGACTGGAGTGGGGTGGACAGGGGCTCAGCTTCAAGGAGCCCCCTCACCCCCTCCTCTCTCAGGATGCCCTGGCTCCCCCACCTTGTCTTCCCTGGGCTGCATGGAGTGGGACACCCCTAAGCTGATTTTCTGGGCTGAACTTGAAGTATGGCTGCTGATGAGCTCTGATCTTGCCTGGGGGCCACTGATCTTTTAGGTGACCTTGGTAGATAACCCCAGAGTTGGAATCCCTTTGCCTGGCCTGAGGTTCTGGCCAGTAGTCTCCGGTGACCCCTGCAAACCCAGACCCAGGGCTGTTTTGTGCCCAAGGTGCAGAGGGCACAGGTGCCATGTTCACATTCCCTAAGCCCCTCCCTGTGTCCCCAGGCACCATCTGCCCCGGTCAGCTCCAGCCAGTCCCTGCTGGAGTGGTGCCAGGAAGTCACCGCTGGCTACCGCGGCGTCCGCGTAACCAACTTCACTACATCCTGGCGCAACGGCTTGGCCTTCTGTGCCATCCTGCACCGATTTTACCCGGACAAGATGTGAGCTGCCAGAGGGGGTGGCAATGAGTGGGGGAGCCCGCTGGGAGGGCGGTGTGAATGCAGTCTCTGACCAGTGCTCTCTCTGCAGCGACTATGCCTCCCTCGACCCCCTCAACATCAAACAGAACAACAAGCAGGTGAGATGGGGAGGAAGCAATGCCTGAAGGGGAAGAGGCTCTAGAGCCAGGCATAGGTCCAAGATTTGGGTTCTCTGTGTCTGTAGGAGAGGAATCTGTGGGCTGCAGGGCCCCAGCCATGGCTTTTGGAAGTTCTGCCACTTTCTACTCTTTTGGTCTTTAAATTGTTCGTTTTCCTTGCTTTAGTTTTGTTTTTTTAAAGCATATTTCCACTAGATGGTTTTTCCAAAACCACCCCTCGGTGTGCAGTTGCTGGGTAACGCGAGGGCGGGGCCTGTTGCTAGGTTTCCCCCAATAGGAAGGTGAAGGCGTTGATAGGCAAACCCCGGCGTGCCCGTCGCGAGGATCCTCTCTGCGGGGCGCCGCAGGGCTGCCGCGTAGCTGGGTAACGCCCGCCGCCGCTGACCCAGAGCGCCCGGTTTCCAGGCCTTCGATGGCTTCGCGGCCCTGGGCGTGTCGCGGCTGCTGGAGCCGGCGGACATGGTGCTGCTGTCGGTGCCCGACAAGCTCATCGTCATGACGTACCTGTGCCAGATCCGCGCCTTCTGCACGGGGCAGGAGCTGCAGCTGGTGCAGCTGGAGGGCGGCGGCGGCGCCGGCACCTACCGCGTGGCCAGCGCCCAGCCGAGCCCGCCTGATGCCCTGGACGCCGGCGGCCTGGCGCAGCGGCTGCGCGAGCACCGGGCTGAGGCGCCCGAGGAGCCCAAGGAGGCCGTGAACCGCGCGGACGGGGCGGCCCCCAAGGCGGCCTCCAAGGAGCGAGGGGCCGAGGCCGCCCAGGAGGCGCGCTCCGTGGAGTCCCCCGACGGCCCCGGAGCCCGGGCATCCGTGCCCCCGGCCGAGGGGCTGCTGAACGGGGCGGGGGCGCCGGGCGCCGGGGGCGGCGTGAAGCTTCGGCGGCCGTCGGTCAACGGGGAGGCCGGGCCAGTGCCCCCGCCCCGCGCGCATGGCTCTTTCTCCCACGTGCGCGACGCCGACCTGCTCAAGAAGAGGCGCTCGCGGCTGCGGAACAGCAGCTCCTTCTCGGTGGACGAGCCGGACTCGGGAGCCGCGGGCGCTGCCGGAGCCGGAGCCGCGGCTGCGGTGAGTGGCCTCCTGCCGCGGGGGGTCATGGGGAGCCGGGCAGAGAAGGGGCGGGGCCCCAGGGACCCCAGGGCACAGGTGGTGGGCCTCTGCTGGACGCGGGGAGCCGCTTTCTGATTGGAGGGACCGTGGGGCCGCGGAAGAGTCCCTTGGCGACGTAGTGAGCTCCTCATCAGGGGACACATGCGAGCCCAGAGCCGCTGCTGGGACAGGGTCCCGATTTTGCTGCCAGCCTTGGGATATATGCTCGTGGTTTTTAACGCTTGGCACCCAGTTAGTGCAATCATGGCTGTAGTGGGAAGTTCCCAGAAGGCTCCATGTGGTCAGCACCCAGCGCAGCGCTGTTTATGGACTGTCAAGTGGATTGGGGCATTTCTTTCCCTGCAGGTGGCCGAGGTCAGCCAGCAGCCACCGCTGCCCTATAAGCTGGGGGCCGGGTTTCCATACTCAAGGGGTCTCTCCAGGGTCTTCCAGCCCCCAAATTCTCTGACTTGGGTTTTTAACTCCAGATGCTGGAGACCAGTGTCGTCCGTTCTCTGATAATGGGAGATTGGAGATGGGAGGCCCTGCTGGGTACCTATGTCCCCCGACCCCCTGCACGTCTCGGGTCAGAGTCTCCCACAGTGTCATGTGGTCACTTCATTGAAGGGAAGTTGGTCCCAGAGAGGACAATGATTTGCTGAAGGACTCAGAGCTGCTGAAGTCCAGGCCACGGGCTTTCCAGCTGGGGTTCCAACCACTGCCCCGTCCTGCCTGTGATAGCAGAGGTCGCTGCAAGCCTTCAGCTGCCCAGGGATGACCCCTGAGTCTAAGAAAGAGAGGAAAGGAAAGGCTTTCTGGAAGAAGCAGCCATTTGAGCTAGGCTGCTCAGATGGGCAGGTTTCCCGGGTGAAGAATGGGAGGGGAGTTCTTGAGTGGAGGGACTCGCACAAGCATCAACATGGCACCTGGAAAGCTCAGCTCTCATTTAGGAACTGCCAGTCATCTCTGTAGGGTCCGCAGGCAGTGATGTGGCTGGCCTGGGGAGCAGGAGCCTTGAGTGCAGGGTCAGAGGCGCAGCGTTGAGCCTGTGAATGAGAGACAGGAGGGCACCGGAGGCACCCACAGGAGATGTGATAGGCAGGAGTCAGAGGGACAGAGCACCCTTGGCTTGTCTGTTGGCCTCTGGCCACAGCCCCGTTAATGTGTGTCAGTGGCTCTTTAAATCTTAAAGGGGAGGCCCCATCCTACACTGTTCTGGGCCCGAGTCCCAGCATCTGGTCCTTCCAAGCCAGGGCCCCCTCCAGCCCTGGTCTCACAGGAGATATGTGGCCCGTGGGGCTGGAGGAGCCTCCTCCTCGTTGGCCACTCTCATCCCCCATCCCCCATCCCCCATGCGTGCAGTGGGAGGACGTCAGGCCTACCCCCGCCCCGGGGAGCTCCCAAAGTCCTGAAGTGGGATGAAGTCAGGCTCCTTGAAGCTGAGGTGGGGCTGAATCTGCGCCATGAGGAGGGCAGCATGCCTCCGGTGCGGCCCAGCAAGGCTTCCTGGAGGAGGAACCACACATGAGGGTGTAGAAAGGGGAATTTGGGTCAGACACGAGGAAGCGTTGGAATGCCCATCAGGGCTGGCATGAGTAAGCTCGGTTGCTGCTGAGGTTGGGGTTTCTCCACTCTCCTGCCTCTGCCTGCCCTGTCAGTTGAGCCCTCGCTGTGTGCCTGGCCTGCCCCCAGCACCCCTCATCAACTCCTCACTGAGTCCTCACAGTGCCCCTTCCAGGAAGGAATGACTACCCCATTTGCAGGTGGGAATGTTGAGGCTCAGAGAGATGAAGGAGGCGAAGGGGGTTGCTACAAGTGTGAGCCCAGGTTCTGAGCCTGAACTCTAAAATGGCGCCCTCTGCTGGGCTCAGCACTATTGACTGGCTGTGTGATCCCCGGCAAGCCACTTAACCTCTCTGTGCTCTTTCCCTGAGGATGAGGAGCAAACACATGAAAGTTCTTTGCAAAGTGGCCTTGAGGCATCACTTCGGGGTGCTGTCTAAAAAGATGCCTATCTGGAGCCCTGCAACCCCCAGGTTCCACAGGGCTGGGGTTTCTCCCCATTTTATATACAAGGTCACAAACAGAAGCCCAGTGGGCATGACTGGCCCAGAGGGAAACGGCAAATTGGTGGCCGAGCTTGGGAGCAAACCTTGGGATTAGACAGCCCTGGGCCCTAGGCCAGGCCCTGTCTGAGCCTCATCTCTGACTCTCAGTTTCCTCATCCGTAAAGTGGGGATGGTAATTGTCCCCGCCTTACAGGGTTGTTGGGAGAAGTGAGCCAATACAGGCACAGTGCCCAAAACATAGGCGCTTAATTGATGTCGGCTATTATCGTTAATCTGTGTACCCTGAGTGTGTTCCCTGGGCCCCACCCTGTCTGCAGAGGCCAGCTCTGGTCAGGGAGACACGGGTGACCAACAGCCATGATGGGGTGGGTGGGGGTGGGAGCTGTGATGGGGGAGGCCCAGGAGGCCATGGGGGGAGCATCTGCCCTGCCTGGGGATCCGACGAGGCTTCAGGAGGCATGAAGATCAGGCAGGAGGCCGAAAGCGGCGTGGGAGCCCAAAGGGGCCTCTGGAGGAGGCGGAGCTGAGCCGGGTCATGAGGGTCGAGTTGGTGTCCAGCAGCCCAAGACAGAGGCAGGCTCCAGGCTGAGGAAGCTGTTTGGGGAAGCGAAAGTCCGTCGCTGTGGCCGGAGGGTGGCGTCTGGGTGGGGTTCAGGATAGTAGGAGTTGAGGCTGGAGCTGCCAACAGGCCTTGGCAATGAGGCTGGGGGCTGAGGGGGGCGTGGGGAGGGTGACACCATCGGGTGAAGGTTTTAGGAAGACTCCTCAATGGAGGCTTGAGGGTGGAGTCAACAGGCAGGGCATGGTGAAGAGGCCGCCACTGACCCAGGCCAGAGGGGATGGGACCTAAGCTGGGGACATCCAGGGCTGCCTCTCACAGGGGTGCAGGGTGGGGCAGACAGTGGGGTAGCTTAACTCCTTTTCCCTGCCCTGTGACCTGGAAAGGTGACCAGAGCAGGTACCACCAAAGGGGGTCAAGCTCTCAGCTGAGCCGGAAGTTGGGGGCCCCCAGGGCTGACAGTCCCAGCGAGTCTCCAGGGCAGGGGACATCAAGGGCCAGCTCTGCCCTTCCAGGCTGAAATTGGTAGGTCTAGCCAACCTGTCCTGTACTGAGTGTCGTGTGAAGAGCACAGCAGTCTCCAGGTGTGGGAATTGATAAGGTGGGAGAGCGCCCCCTTTTGGCCAGGAGATGGATGACCCTAGGTCTGGTGATGGGGCCAGATCAGTTCCACTCAATGTGACAGCGTGGGGTCCTGGCCATGATGGAGATGCCAGCGCTAGGTGATGGGAGCCAGAGGTGGCCTGAGGGGGCTCCGTGGAGGAGGGGATGAGAGGGGAAGGAGAGGCCCCAGCTGGGCTCTTCACAGCCTTTTACCCCCGACTCTCACAAAAGCCCTGTGAGGCCCGAGGAACAAGGACTGTGCAGCTTGGAGAGTGGGAGTGGACTGGCCCAGGACCTCAGGGCCAAGGAGGGTGAAGGCCGTGTCCTTTGCTGGAGGAGGCAGTTTTCCTAGAAGGAGGCAGGGGGAGGAGTTCTGTGCATGAAGGACTGGAGAAGCAGAAGGTTGGGCAGGGTGTGGAGTTGAAGGCCCCTTCTCCCCTACATGTGTGAGGCTCTGGCTGGCTCCAGGGCAGGGCTGTTGGAGAGCCCCGCCAAGCCCTCACTGGCCCCTTCCTTCACAGGAAGGCCTGAGCCCTGACCCCAGCCCTGCCCCTAGCCCATCCGCAGCCACAGCCCCGCAGCAGCTCCCTGGTGAGTAGTTCTGAGAGGGTAGTGGACCAGCTCAGCTCAGGCTGCTCACAGATCCTGAGCTGGGGACCTCCTGGGGGCAGGTGTCATTTGGGGGGGACCTTAGCCTGGTCTCTGTCTGCAGGTGGGAGTCCCCCATCGGAGGAGCCACCGCCAAGCCCAGGGGAGGAGGCTGGGCTGGTAAGGTGGGCTGAGGTGGGGGGAGCTGATGGGTGGGCACTTCCCAGGCAGGGCCTGGGCTGAACCCACCCTGTCCCTTGCCCCCCCCACCTTCCACCCCAGCAACGGTTCCAGGACACAAGTCAGTACGTGTGTGCAGAGCTGCAGGCCCTGGAACAGGAGCAGAGGCAGATAGATGGACGGGCGGCCGAGGTGGAGACACAGCTGAGGAGCCTCATGGAGTCAGGTGGGGTGGGCATCTGGGGTCCACTCCCCAACACAGGCCTCCTTCCTCCCCACACACCTTGGGAGGCGTGGGGAGGAGGCGAGGCTGGGGTGGTCTTCCCCATTTACAGCTGGGCATGCTGAGACCCTGAGCCGGAAAGCAGATTGCTGGAGGCACACAGCACTGGCTTCTGGGATGCCACAAGAGTGCAAACCCCGTCCCCCAACCCCAGCCGCCCTGCTCCTGACACCGGTTGGTGGCAGGTCTCGTGACTGTCCTGGCTGGTTCAGGTGCCAACAGGCTGCAGGAGGAGGTGCTGATCCAGGAGTGGTTCACACTGGTCAACAAGAAGAACGCTCTCATCCGGAGGCAGGATCAGCTGCAGCTGCTGTGAGTGCTGGCTCTGCCCTGTTCCGCCCCGCTCCCCCCACCCCCAGGTCCACCCAGGGCTTGCGGAGAAGAGGGAATCTTAGCTACTTCGGTTAGAGATATTCTTTCCTTGCTTCTTTCTGCAAAGATCTTTTTGAAATTGTTCAGCCACCTTACTAATTTTTTCCTAATTTCCTGTATAAAGTGTATACCTCTTAAATTGGTACTGTTTGTACCAACGAGAAAGCTGAGGCCCAAAGAAAAATGTGGCGCAGGTGGGACAGGGCTGAGTGGCCCAGTCTGACCCTGTTCCTTTACATAATGACAACTAAGGCCTGGAGAGAGCAGAACTGCTTTCTCGAGTGGGGTCAGAATCCACTCTCCGCCATGATTGCCTTTAGAGCCCTGCATGGTGGAGGCGGTTTTGCCCCCCTTTGCATTTTGGATCATTTTTCAGAATAATTTTAGTCTGAAACTTGCTGTTTATGAGTAATGTTCATCCAAATAATCCTGCTGAATTGTTATTTTTTAGAAAAGATTGGTGGGGGTGGGACGAGATAATGTAAACATCCATGATTGGAGAACAGTTGGAATGGAGATGAGTGGGACTGGGAACAGGGACACAGGAACTGGTGGTGAGGTGGGATGGGGGCAGGAGAGTGATCAGAGTCCTGGGCACTCCCTCCTGTTCCCCATTCCCTGATCTGGCTCCCCCGCCTGCCAGCATCGAGGAGCAGGACTTGGAGCGGAGGTTCGAGCTGCTGAGCCGGGAGCTACGGGCCATGCTGGCCATCGAAGGTGGGAGATGGAGCTGGAGGGGCTGGGCGCTAGCACAGGGTAGGGGCCGGCGCCTTCTGACCCTCAGCCTCCTCCGCCCTCAGACTGGCTGAAAACGGCCGCGCAGCAGCACCGGGAGCAGCTCCTGCTGGAGGAGCTGGTGTCGCTGGTGAATCAGCGCGACGAGCTGGTCCGGGACCTGGACCACAAAGAGCGGATGTGAGTGAGGCCGGGATGCGCTGGGAGTTGGGGAGGGCGCAGGGGCTCTCCGCGGAGTGCTTGGTCCGGCCCGGGAGTGGACTAGGGGTGGCGCCCACCCGGGACGCTGGTTCTGACTTGAACCCGTTCCCCCCAGCGCCCTGGAGGAGGACGAGCGCCTGGAACGCGGCCTGGAGCAGCGGCGCCGCAAGCTGAGCCGCCAGCTGAGCCGGCGCGAACGCTGCGTGCTGAGCTGAGGCCGCGCCCTCCCGGCCCGTCGGACCGCAGCTCTTCTCGTCGCCGCCCCGGGCCTGCGCCCCGGAGGACCGGACTCTCCTGGATGCCGAGCACGGCCTGGAGGGGCCCCGTCGCCCCTCTTCGGGGAGGGGGTAGGGCGGCCCCGTGGGACAGGAGCGGCTGGGCGGCCGCGCCGTCCGGGCCGCATTTATTGTCCGTGTGAGTGTGTGTGCGTGGGGCTGGGGCCCAGGAGCGCCGCGCAGAACCCCTCCCCGACGGCAGGGCCCGGGCCGGCCTGGCCCGGGGAGAAGGGTGGCCGTGAGCTAACGCGCCCCCGCCCTCCCCTTCCTGTTGCTGGAGAGCAATAAAGTTAGGGAAGGCTACACCAGCGCCGGCCCTTTCTCCGGACGACGGGGCTTTCAATAGACGGAAGGGGGCGGGGCGTGGGCCGATAAGGTTGTCTGCGATCCTCAATGGGGCTGGGCGGGCTCTGAGGTTGCCAGATGCCGACGGAGGCCGGACCTCCGCCTTCGTAGGATGATGGGGGCTTGACTTGTTGGTCGCTGTAGGGAAGTCCCATTTCCAAAGAAGAGACGTAAACACAGTGGGCGTTGTTGCCCATTTTATTGATCAACACATTATTCCCTGAGGTCCCCACATCCACCCCTCCCCTCCCCTCCGCAGAAGCTTTCCCAACCACTCAGCTTCCTCCTCAGGCTGCTCCACCTGAAAGGAGCTCATCTCTATCACCTGACACCCGTCAGCAAGCTGGGGCCTGTTCTGAGGGTGCAGCTGGGGGTGGCAGGGTGCTCAGAGCCAGTTCATCCTGGTCTAGGATGCCACCTTGGTCCTCAGCGGTCAAAGGGCCACTGGATCCAAAGAACTTCACCATGGCACGGACCTGTGGCAGCTCCGCGAATGTCTCCACGGCCAGCAGCATGGCCAGGAGCCCCAGGAGCAAGTAACCTGGGGAGGAGAGGTTGCTAGGGCAGCTCTCAGGGTGCTGATGATGCGCCCCACCCACCTCCCAGCCTGGTGACCCACCCTGGCACCTGGTGCCACTCACAATTCTAACACTGCCACCTGGGTTCTTCCAACTACAACTCCTATACCACACCCTAGGGCAGGGTCCCTCCACCAGTGAGGCTCAGCCTCCCCAATGGTTTATGGGAATTGTAGTCCAGACTCCTCTTCCCTCCTCCTCTCCCCCTCCTGCTCCTTGGCGGCTGGACTCACCGAGAAGTGCAAGCTGGCAGAGGTGGTAAAGCAGTGGATGCAGGCCGTGGCCCCGGCCAGGCAGCAGGTCCCCCAGGCCAATGGTGCTGAGCGAGCTGAAGCAGAAGTAGATGGCCTCCAGCAGGCTGCAGTCGCCCTGCAGGTCCCACAGCACCAGTGCTGGCAGCAGCACAAAGGTACCAGCCACTAGCAGGCCCAGTGCAGCTGCCCGCAGCAGCACAGCCCTGGCTGGCGCCAGCTGCCAGCGGAGGGCTACCCAGGCCCCTGGGCGGCTGAGCAGAGGCAGCAGGCAGTGGCGCAGTGAGGCCACAAGGGCTAGGGAGGCTGGCAGCCCCAGGGCTGCGTAGACCACACAGAAGGCCTTTCCACCTGCCGATAGTGGGGCCATGTGGCCATAACCTGGCAAGGAGAGAGAGAGTGGGCAATGAGCACTTGAGTGGGACGCCTGCTGGGGTCCCCACTTCCCCCAACCTTGCCTCCAGCAGAAGGCTGCCCTCTGGTGGCCGACATTGTTGGAACTGTTTAGGCCTATGTTCTGTCTGGTTCTGCTCCTCATTCACTGGGGGTCTTGGGCAAGTCTCTTAACCTCTCTGGGCCACTCTTTTCTTTTCTGGAAAATGAAAGGATTAAAAGAGACAGTCCTCTCATGCTTCTTGTAGCTGGGACAATTCTGAGAACTACTGTCCTGCCCCAGAGGGAGCCTGGCTTTCTGAGAGATTCCTCAGCTCTGCCCTTGACGGATACTTCCAAATTCACTGGGCAGAGTGCCACCCGCTCTTTCATTCCCCAAAGGTGTATCAAGTCAACGTGTGTGCTAGGCCTTGCGCTGGAATCTGAGTCTGTCCAGGCCCTGCCATTTGGTGGGGGAGGCAGGCGGGAAAATTAGGACACTTGACTTGAAGAGCTACAAGAGATCATGAGAAAGGGCTTCCAAGGCTGGAAAAGCATGTGCAAAGGCAGGGGAGACGAGAGAGCGGGTGTACTGGGAGAACAGGATCAGCCAGTCCAGAGGTTGCAAACTCAGATGCCTAGATGTGAGACAAGAGGGAGTGGTGGGGACCAGGGTGGACTGGGGAGCATGTGCTCTACCCCAAAGGGCAGGCCCTGTTCCACTCCAGCCAGAATGTTACCTTGCAGGGATTCTGGCTCAGTGCAAATAGGTTTCTCGATTTTTCCAAAAGAAGTTGGAAAACAGACTTAAATTTTAAAAAAATTTAGACATAATAAACGATATTTAGATACAAAATAAAAGATATTTAGACACTGCAGGACAAAAAAACCCAAGCTGTGGGTCCCATTGTTTTATTTCTCTGGGCCTTTGCACATGCTGTTCTCTCTGCCAGGGATTCCTTCATCCCTCATCTCTGTACCTTCTTGCCTTGGCTAACATCTCATCAGGACTTCTTCCCTCGGGGCCTTCTCTCACACTCCCTCCCTGAGTTGGTCGTCCTAATCTGTATTCCCTGGGTTCACTCCATTTCCCCACAACCAAGAACCCATCCCACAATATGTTCCCTGCCTCACTTCAGGCCCACAGTGTCTGGGCACCTTCCTGGATCTCAAAGGGTGCCTGGGGGTGGGGCTGGGGAGAGGCCACACTCCTCCTGGCAGCTGAAGTTGAGATACCAGTTGGGGTGTGCTGGTGTGGGGAGCCCCAGCCATGATGTCAGGCCTAATAGGGCCTGGGCTCTGTCTGGCATTTTGGGCTGGGCAAAGGGCTGCACCCCCAGGGACACCAGGAGCCCCCTCCTGCCCAGCTGCCTGGCAGCCTTACCCGTGGTGGTGAGGATGCTGGCAGCGAAGAGCAGGGCCGAGGGCAGATCCCAGTTCCGGGTCTCTGAGCCATTGCCCAGGCTGGAGACCCCATGGGCCTGGGCTGCCAGGGCGGTGCTCAGCAGCTCCTCCAGTGCCCCAGGTGGCAGGCAGGCCCCGTACTCTGCCTGGAAAGTGGCCCTCTCCGCCCTGAGCTTGGCCTGGAGGCGGAGTGCTGGTGGCCCCTCCAGGACCTGGAGCATGGCAGCCCCAAGCCCCAGGGCCAGCAGGTGGGCCACAACCAGTAGCCCATATCGGGCCCAGGGCCTTAGACCCCCCATGGTGTGCTGCCTGGAGTCTCAGGTGCCCTGGGAGCTGGCTGCTCTGATGCAGACACCTGGGAGGGGCGGGGCTGGGAGGAGGTGCTGTGTGGGTGGCTGAAGAGGGAGGGAAGCCTGGGACACAAGCTGGGGTGCGTGTGCACAGGAGGGAGAGGGGGCAGCTCAGGCTTGGAGGTGAGCTGGATCACGCCTCCCAATTTCAGGGGGCAAGACATTATTTGCCCAATTCCCCACAGCTGGGGTGGTGGGGGCGGGGTGGAGGAAGGCGAGGCCCAGAGAGGTAGGTGACTGGCTCAAAATCACACTGCAGTGGCTTATTCAAGGACACGCTCAGTCACACACACTCCATTCATCCACTCCACAGGGGCTTAGATCCCGAGGACGCCAGGGAAGAAGACGGCACACGTCCCTTCCCTCCCGGTGTTCACACAGAAAACCTGTTAGCAGGGGAACATGACAAGTTCACATGGTCATAAGCTCCCTGAAGGAGAGAGTTCTGGGGGCAGGGGAATGTCACCAGGAAGGCTCCCAGTCTAAAGAGTGACATTTCAACTGGAGAACAGAAGAGGCCAGTCAAGGTGGGAAAGAGCATGGGGTGTGAGAGGAATAGGGGGCTGGCTGTGAGGGAGGGAAAGTGGGTAAGGACACACGGCTTGAGGACAAGTGTGGCCCAGGGGACCTGGGGGAGGGGCATTCTGGATGGATGGGTGGCAGCCCGGGCAGGGGCAGTCCTGGACAGATGATGCTCCATTCCGAGTCCTTCCTAAGAACCCTTTGTGCCCCACCCTCTCGAGTCCCCACCCTGCTGAACACTGCCGCCACAGTGGGTCTGGCTGCTGGGGAGCGCGTGGGGGAGGGGGAGCCAGGATTATGACCGCCATAAACCATGGCAGTAAGAGGAGTGGAGCCAGGTGCCAGGGCAGGTCACCCCTCCTGCATCCAGACCATGGGATAAACAAACCCCAAGATGCTGCCCAGAGGGCTGTGGGCTCCTGAGTTCAGCCAGCTGCCTGGGGTAGGAACGGCATGGCCAGGGAAGGTGTCCCAGGGGAGGAGAGGTTGCAGCTGGGACCCTAAAACAAGCAGGGGCCACCCAGCAGCAGGAAGAATCAGGGTAAACAGTCATTTGAAATGGTGGCAAAGGGCTGGCAAGGTAGGGAGAAGGTGGGTGAGGCCAGCGCGTGTAGGTGCCTGACTGAGGCTAGGGGACTTGATCCCAGGAGAGGGGGGTGGTGCGAGGTGTCCCAGCCTAGGCCACCTGCCCATTGTGCTGGGGGCATTCGGTCAGAGTGGTGTGATGGGTGGGATCCCTGGTTGCCTCCAAGAAAGGTGACAGGCTGTGCTTGGGGAGACAGCTTGGGGAGTTTATTTGGCTTCATTGGATCCCGAGGCCGAGGCCTCAACCCTGGCCGGGGCAGCAGGAAGGCACCCAGAGAGCCCCGGCCCCAGATGACCCCCAGGGCAGGGGGGGTCCAGGCACTGAGCCTTGGGGCAGGGGCCACAGTAGCAGGACTTGGTCAAAAGTGCTGGTGACAGCTGAGGCGGCCCCTCTCCCCGGCACCTCCCCTCCTCCCTGCACCACCCCTGGGGGCAATTCCCTGAGACAGGCTCTGGTCCTCCCAACCAGCTGGGTACAGTGTCAGGCCCCAGTGGGGCAGGTAAGTCAGGGGACCCACAGGTTGCAGGTGTGTGGGGGGTGCAGGCCCCCCATCCAGTGTGAAGGCTTCCTGTGCAGTGTAGTGTTCCTGATCCCCAAAGGGGGCGGGGTCCCTGGGGGAAACCAAGGCCGCTATGGATGCTTGCCTGGCTCCTGTTCCAGTGTATGCTGTGGCTCCTTCAGGGCAGCCGGAGCGTGGGGGAGCAGCCCGGCCCACTCAGGGCCCCGCCTCTGGTGCCCATGGGGCCTGGGCACCCATGTCTTTGGTCTGTGCCCTGCAGTCCTGAGGGCCCCCCCGGAAGGGGTTGGCAGGCGGAGAGTCCCAGAAGGGGTCCGAGTCTGGGAACAAGGTCCAGGGTGCCCGGCGGGGCGTAGGCTGTGGCGAGGGCAGGGGCGAAGGCCGTGGCCCGGCTGACACGAAGCTCCATGGGTCGATGCGGCTGCGAAGGGGTGAGGGCCGAGGTCGGCTGATGAGGCCCAGGGGCAGTGAGCGTGGGGTGCCCGGGGTGCCAGGAGCAGAGCGTGATATCCCTGGTGGGGGCAAGACAGTGCTTCCTATGAAGGGTGGGGGAGGGGACACAGGGTCAGGCAGCCACCAACTTCTGGGTGTCCCCAGGTGGCGCTGCCCTGCTCTGGGCCTCAGTTTCCCCATCTGCACAGTGAGCTACTTGACACATAACTTCCATGGCCCTTCGCGCTCCACGGTGCATCTGTTTATTCTGTAGTGGTTACCAGCCAGGCCTCTGGAGCAGCCGGCCAGGGCTTGCACCCCCACTCTGCTCACTCCCACTTACTAGTGGGAGCCCTGACTCCCCTGATCTCTCTGTGCCTTAACTTTCCTCATCTGAGGAACAGGTATGACAGGAATTCCTAGTTCACAGCGTGGTTACAGTTAAATGAGACATCTCTGTAAAACACTAGGGCAGTGCGTGGCACAAGCAACCAGTAAGTGTGCTGTTATTATCGTTGTCACCATTGTTAGTACTAAACTATTATTTCACAACGGACATGGCGCAGCCACACCCCCGGCTACTGAGGGGCTGAACTTAGAACTCAGTTCCCTACATGCACCCCCAGCGCCCTGAGGGCCGGGTCTGTGCCCAGCAGAAATTTGCGGCCCCGCCTTACTGCCCTGCATGTCCCCACCGGCCCCTCCCCTCATGTCACCGCCCAGTAGGCCACTCACCGCGCCTCTCCTCGCGCCGGGGGCTCTTGGCTGACGGCTGGCCCGCGGGGACACCCAGCTCCAGCAGCAGGGGCGCGGGCGTGGGCGGGCCGGGGGCGTCGGGGCTCAGCGGGGAGGCGGGGGCGTCGGGCGTCTTGGGGGAGAAACGGATGAGCGGCGAGGGGGGCGGGTCGGCGGG